GACGATGATCAGCTGATCGTCAGCCGGCTTGCAGTTAGTCAGAATCGGCTGTTTGTCGGCATTGTTTGCAGCCTCCGATGCTCGCCGGTCCAATGGCCTTCGGGACATTCTTCCCACCACCCACCTCCGTTTTGGGGTGTGACACCTGCTCTGAGAAGGGGGAAGCCCTCCGAAGGAAGAGAGAGAGAGACACCTTGTAACCTTGTACGGGATAACCTGGTACGGGAAACCAAAACACCCCCCCTTTTCCCCCCCCAGGGCGCGACTTGAAATCTTTGGGTGAAATCTTCGAGAAGGCTTTGGGTGCGAGTGGCAAATGGCCTTTCTGTCGAAGGGCTCCTACAGGTAGTCCTCGACTTACAACAGTTCATTCAGTGACCGCTTGAAGTCCTGGAAAAAAAGTGACAGGACCGTTTTTCACATTTACGGCCATTGCGACCAGGTTCACGTGACCCAAATTCAACCGCTTAGGCAGTGTTGTTTTTTTCCCCCCGGTCTTGAAATAACTGTGAAATATAAAATAAAGTTAGAAACAACTGTCGAAAGCCGACCCAAGTTATTTTGAAAGTGGAATGACCGCTGCCAAAGAGATTGGCAGCTGGAGGAGGACAATTGTGCACGCGGTCTTCAACTTACAGCCATCTGTTCAGTGTCCATTGACAGTTACAACGGCACTGAAAGAAGGAACTTACGACCGGTTTTCACACCACTGTTGCATCCCCATGGTCATGTGATCAACATCTGAGCACCTGGCCACTGGCATGTATTTATGATGGTTAACACACAGACACACACATGGGTCATGCTATCATCATTTTTTTAAACCTTCCCAGCTAGTTTCTGATATGCAAAGTCAATGGGGGAAGCCAATTTCGCTTAACGGCCTCACAATTCATGTAACAACTACAGCCGTTCGCTAACTGGCAAAAAAAAAAGGTCATTAAATGAAGTGAAACTATTAGCAACTGCCTTGATTAGCATCAGAAACTTTAGACTCTGTTGTGGTTGTAAGTTGAATACCTATAACGAACTGCTGCCTTGGCCTCAAGAAGGTTTGCAGGGTGTGTCTGTGTTTATTTTTTTAGAGGGGGCGTTAGTGAAATCACCCACCTTGCTAACTTTGGGAAAGAAGGCGAGTCTTTGTCTTTGTCCAATGAAGCCGATGTGCAGAGATGATGGAACAAGGCAATAAAAACAAGATTTGGAGAACGGGTAGAGAAACAGACTCATTTTTAGGAAGCCGGGCTGGAAAGAAAAGGATAAGCTCTCTTTGCTAGAATCATAAACCAGGCATTCGTCCAGGGAAGGCGGGTTGAATTGTGGGAGCAGAAACACCAGAGTCCGATTTCAAATGTTAACATCAGCTGGGTTTTAGAGAATAGAGTAGAGTAGAATAAAAATAGAGTAGAAATATAGTGGAGTAGAATAAAAATAAGAGTAGAAATATAGTGGAGTAGAATAAGAATAGAGTAGAAATATAGTGGAGTAGAATAAAAATAGAGTAGAAATATAGTGGAGTAGAATAAGAATAGAGTAAGTAGAATAGAACAGAGCAACAGAACAGACCTTGGAGGTCTTCTAGTTCAACCCCCTGCTCAGTCAGGAAACCCTATGCCATTCCAGGCAGTTGCTGACTTGGAGAACCAAGGAGTGTGAGTTGGCTGCTGTGGAGATTTCATAGAGCCAGCTATCAAGACCAACAGCCAATTGCTCACCTATAATATTCTTCCCTTGTGGCTTGGCAAAGAAAAGGGCGTTGGTGCAGTGGAATGCAAGGAGGGAGAGGAATGGGCTTCCAAGTTTTTTAGGTCCCCGTGAGACATTGCTCCCCACCTCAAGGACACCCAGAGCAGGTGCCACAGCGCTCTGTACATGGATTCTCCTTCGTTGCATACAGCTCTCAAAGGGTCAACAACTCCAATATACACTACATGAACATGACTAGATAAATAGATAAATGCAAAAGGATGCATACACCCCTGTATATTATGTGACACAGAAACATCACAGTCTAGTTTTGAAAAGGATGTTTAAAATCTCCAGTCTCTTCCCTGTTGCAAGTGTTTGCTTTCTTCCAGTAAAGGAAAAAAGATGAAAACAACGGTTATAGCCACAAAAGGAGACCACACCTTTTTGTGTCCCTTGCTCCAAAGCAGCAGGTGTAAAAACTCAAGGGCTCTATAAGGCACCCCTAACACAGGGCAATTCAGCCCTCTTTGATCTTGGCAGTCTCTAGCTTCTGAAACGAGGAACGCATGCGTCGGAGGGCTCTGCCCCTCGTTGCATCCGGGGGTCTTTCTCTTTAGGTAAGAGGTAGAGAGGTTTCTTTTTAATCGCCTAGAACGTCTCGTCTCTCTAGGAAGGAGGGCTCGTTCGCCTTTCTTCCCAGCTTCTTGGAATCGAGGCAGGCGTGGGAGTTTCTCCCAGGATCGGAGACGGGAGAGTGTGAGTTGCAGCCGTTCCTTTCACGCGCGAAAGCATCGTGGAAAGCAAAAAAAAAAAAAAAAAAGCAAGCAAACATTTTCTGGGAAAACTGGGAAGGAGCTTGAGGAATGATGGGGGGAAAGGCTCCCTTCTGCTCTCCAGCAGAATATAGAAGTGGGGTGCGTGGGAAAGGGGAAGGGGTGGGGGCGCCTGGAGGATTGCCTCCCCTGCCCCGCCCGAGGCTCAGCGCCTGCCACAATCCTAACTCTTGCTAGCTGCCCACACCCCCCGGACCTCCCTGCTCCCCACGTAGCCCGTTTCCTGACCTCGGATGCTGCTGGTGGTGCATAAAATCCCTGGAGGGTCGCAGGCTCAGCCTCCCACCTCAAGGGAACAGGTCTGATGGGGGTTAGAACGCAGACTAACAGAGTTGGAAGGGGACTTGGAGGTCATCTAGTCCACACACACCCCCAGGCAACATCAAGTATCCCCCCCCCCATTTAAGAGATTCAGACTGAAATTAGATTGGAGCCCACTGGGGTTCATCAGAGAGTTCAAATTAAGTGCCATGAAAACAGACTGAAGCAGGTAAGAATGTTTAGTCTTGGGGAGGGGGAAGGCAATCAAGAGGGATATAATATCCCTGTTGAAGCATTTGACGATCCCCCATAGAAGAGAGAAAAGGTTTTGTCCTGGATTGTCTCCACGTTGCAAAATAAGTAGTTGAATTTGTCAAAAATGTTATGATAATGTTGAAACTGTCAAACTGTCTTTGAATAACAGAGTTGGAACGGGCCTTGTAGGTCATCTAGTCCAACCTCCTGCTCAAGCAGGAGACCCTATATATCATGTCTAATCAGTGGCTGTCTAGTTTCTTCTTGAAGGCCTCCAGTGATAAAGCACCCACAACTTCTGGAGGCAAGCCGTTCCACTAGCTAATTGTCCTCACCATCAGAATAATTATCCTTATTTCTAAGTTAAATATCTCCTTAATCAGTTTCCATCCATTATTCCCAGTTTTGCTTTCGGGTGCTTTGGAAAATAAGTTGACCTCCTCTTCTTTGTTGTGCAGCCCCTCAAATACTATTGCTATCATGTCACCCCTAGTCTTTCTTTTCTCTAGACAAAGGTAAAGGTTCCCCTTGCACATATGTGCTGGTCATTCCCGACTCTAGGGGGCGGTGCTCATCTCCTTTTCAAAGCCGAAGAGCCAGCATTGTCCGAAGATGTCTCCGTGGTCATGTGGCTGGCATGACTAAATGCCGAAGGCACATGGAATGCTGTTACCTTCCCAGCAAAGGTGGTTCCTATTTTTCTACTTGCATTTTTTACATGCTTTCGAACTGCTATGTTTGCAGAAACTGGGATAAGTAAAGGGAGCTCACTTCGTTATGCGGTGCTAGGGATTCGAACAGCTGAACTGCCTACCTTTTGATTGACAAGCTTAGCGTCTTAGCCACTGAGCCACCGTGTCCCTTTTCTCTAGACTAGCCATGTCCAATTCCTGTCCTTCATGTTTTTTTCTCCCATACCAGGAGAGAAAAAAGCCGCAGGCCCACAGACTTTGGCTCTGCAAAGGTATTTATTATATAATCAAGTGGACCAAAGGGACTAAAACCGCCTGGACGGGACCGTCATCCACTGTACTTCTGATTATTTTTCTCTTTTTTCCTTAGACCATCTTCCTTCATGTATCAGATCTTTGCTTTTGGAGATAAATTACTGTCTTTGTGAGATCCATCCGCAACCTCTTCATGCAGTTCAACATCTTAAGAGCGAAAGCGACTTTGTAGAGATAGCGGGGGGGAAAATTCACCCTGTTGGAAACTACACCGGAGTTAGAAAGATAAAATGGACGTCGAAAAGCCAGCAGGACTGGGAGGCACAAAAGGCCCCGCTGCCTTTGAGGATGGGACTAGTAGCGTGTCATGGAAAAACACCAGGCAGAAGATCCTGCATGAGGAAACCGTCAGTTCCGACGTCCATCGCTTGTTCTTCAGGAATTTCTGCTATCAAAAGGCCAAGGGGCCCAGAGAGGTTTGTAGCCAACTCCACCAGCTTTGCCACCAGTGGCTGAAGCCAGAAAGTAGCACCAAAGCTCAGATGGTGGACATGGTGGTGCTGGAGGAGTTCCTGGCTGTCCTGCCCCCGGAAATGGAGAGCTGGGTGAGGGAATGTGGAGCGAAGACTTGTTCCCAGGCGGTGGCCCTGGCCGAAGGTTTCCTCCTGAGTCAAGCAACTGATGAGGGGCTAGTAGAGAAGCAGGTGAGAAGTTTTTGTGGCTTGCCAGCAGCCGGTGGAGCTGGCAGCAGATTCGGACAGTGAGGAGGATGGGGAGGAACATGGGCGAGTCCTGGAGTCTGGGGAAGGCTCTGATGAGGGCTCTGTGTTGGAGGCAGAGAGGGGGACAGAGCCATCTGACAGTTCTCAGCTGTTGCAGAGTCAGACAGCAGTGAGGCAGACGAACAACTGGAGCCTGTTCCCAGTGTGCGCATGCACAGAGTTGCCAGACGAAGGGAACAGCTAAAGAACAGGGGTTGACTCGGAAGTAAGGCCAGACAATGAATGGCTCCTCCCAGAGGAAATAAAAGAGGAGCGAAAGGGGAGTGGAGTTTGCAGGAGACAGTTCACTTAATTAATTCATGACTCTCCGAGACTCCTTGACAACTTTTGCAGATATCGGCCTGGCAGCTCTCCAAGCCAGAAAAAGGTCTGTGACTGTAAATCCTCTCTTGAAAGACTTTGCTGGATGTGAATGAGCAGAATTCACAGTCAATTAATAAAAGAGTTTTTTTTAATCGGGACCCGGAGTTCGCTTCATGCTCTCAGGAAGCCTGGGTCAGAACAAGAGGTTTCATCCTGGCGTGGAGCAGGGATGTCAAACTCAAGGCCTGCGGGCCAGATCTGTCCCATGGGGTGCTTAGATCTGGCCTGCAGGGCTGCCCTGGAAACATTGAAGGACCGGCCTACGGTGTCTCTGCCAGTAAAAACGGAGCTTGGAAGGGCTGTCTGCTATCCTCCCAAGCTCCGTTTTCGACTGTGATGGCCTCCTGCAACCCTCTGCCAGCAAAAACGGAGCTCGGGAAGGCTGCACACAGCCCTCCCGAGCTCTGTTTTCGCTGGGAGAGCGGGCAAGGCACCCCAGGCACCTCCAGCATGAGTGACATCGAGCTGGCCACGCCCACTCGGACCACGTCCACCCTGCGAGGTCAAACACAACGCTGATGTGGCCATCAATGAAATCGAGTTTGACACCCCTGTCATGGAGTAAGAACAAGACTTATCCTTGTTTTAAGAAATGCTTCACTGTTTTATTATTTCAAGCAAATGGTTTAGTTTTAGCACTTAGGAAGGAAAAAAAAACCCAGATGTACAGTTATAGGAACAGGCCCAGCGGGAGTAGTTGGGAGAAAGATATTGGTGTCCTGGTAGTTCACTTTATAGGTTGTTACCTATAAAGCCCTACATGGCATCGGACCTGGGTACCTGAGAGACCGCCTCCTGCCGATCACCTCCCATAGACCGATTAGATCCCACAGGTCAGCCCCTCTCCGCATTCCATCTGCCAGCCATTGTTGGCTGGCGACTTCCCGGGGGAGGGCCTTCTCTGTCGCAGCTCCAGCCCTTTGGAACGAGCTCCCCGTGGAGATCCGGACCCTTACTACCCTCCCATTCTTCCACAAAGCCGTTAAGTCATGGCTGCTCCAGCAGGCCGGGGGGCTCTCGAAATATCCAGCCCCACGGAAACTGTGACTGTTGGGTATTTTAAAGTGTTGTTTTGTGTATTTACCCCCTTCCCTTGTTTATTGTAAGCCGCCCGGAGTCCTTCGGGAGTGGGCGGCATACAAGACCAATAAACAACAACAACAATTAAGTAGGAGCCAGCAATGTGCCACAGCCGCCAAAAAAAAAGCCAATGCAGTCTTAGACTGCATCAGTGAAGGTCCATGCTGAGAATACCAGATATAATTGTAGCCGTCGGACCACAGCTGGAATACTTTCACTGGGTCCAGCTTTGATTGACACCATGCAAGAGGAATGCTGAGAAACTGGAAACGGACAGAGAAGAACAACAAAGGTTGAGGGGGCTGGAGTTTAAATCCTAGAAAGAGGAGCTAGAGAACAGGGCACGTTTCATCTAAAGAAGGGAAGGAGGTGGAGAACCAAGGGAGTAGTCCTCCAACATTTAGTGGCTGTCAAAGGGATGAGGGCATAGATTGATTCTCTGTAGGACAAGGAATACTTCATATCTATCTTTACAATGGGAGATGCAAAGTCAAAATAAAGGAGAAATTTCCTCACTGTGCGAGTTTTTTAGCAGTGGAGCAGCCTGTCCTCTGGAGTGGTGCGTGCTCGTATACTGGAGGTTTTCAAGTCATTTCAATCCATCAATCAGAACAGAGCTGAAGGGACCTTGAAGGTCTTCTAGTCCAGCCCCCTGCTCAAGCATACAGGTGCCTATCCAGTCTTTGCTGTGATGAAGCCCCCAGAACTTCTGAAGGCAAAGCTGTTCCGCCGGTTTATTGTTCTCACCGCTAGGATGTTTCTACTTTATTCCAGGTTGCTTCTCTCCTTGGTTAGTTTCCATCCATTGTTTCTTATCCTGCCCTCTGGTGCTTTGTAGAATAAATTGACCCCCTCCTCCTCTTTTTGGCAGCCTCTCAAATACTGGAATCCTGCTATCATGACACCCCTAGTCCTTTTCTCTAGATTAGCCATATCTAATTCCTGCAATTCCTGATCTTCAGGTTGATCTGGGATGTTTGAGGATTGGACTAAAACAGTGTTTTTCAACCACTGTGCCGCGGCACACTAGTGTGCCGTGACATAGTGTAAGGTGTGCCGTGGGAAAAACACCT